CCCCCCCCCCCCTTTCCCCTTTAATTACTCTGACATTACAGCTGCTTCTCTTGATGCAGATTTTGCTTTATGCGTGCTTTTGTTGCCTCTAGATTAGGTTATTGTTTATGCTGTATTTTTCAACAATACCTGAAGACCACTCAGAAACTTCATCTAGTAAAGAATGCAACTGAACACCCTTTTTAGTGGTATTTTCCACAATCTGCTGGAATGCCATCAGCTGTATTAACTTCTTTCTTCACTTTTGAAGGCACTTTAAGGTGCTGGTTTTGACCTAAAAAGCCTTTTATATTTTAGTGTCTGCCAACCTCAAAAACTTACTGTTAGTGTTCAGAACAGGAAGGAACAGCTCTGGCACCCAAGGTAGCACACACATCGTCCCACTCAGATTGTAACAAGTGAGCTGATGCCAGGACACTTAAAGCTAAGTTCCATCAACTCTGGCATTTGATCTCCTTGTTCCAACAACAGAGCCCCAGTCTTCTGATTTTCATGGCACAAGCTTCATGTTTCCCCAAGCTTTTGACAGAGGAGGCTGGAACAGGGGAGAAATAGGATTCTGAATTTGATCAAATTTATTGTGCAGCAACAATGATGTATGTTGAATAATATGCATGCACTTAAATCTTGTCAAGGCATGTTTTACAAACCTCCAAAAGTATAATAAAAATGAGATCACGCAACACTGAATAATGGCTATTATTAGGCAAGTATTAAAATAAAAAGGAGTCTGATTCCCTTCTATTTTTTCCCTTTGTAAAGCTGTACAAATAAACTAGATGTCTACTGTATGTTACCCTCTTTCTAAAACTAATCTTATACAAGTAGTGTCTTTATACACAGATTTTGTTTCTCTTGTAATTGAATGCCCAGTTCTTACACAGGTTATATGCTAGGGGAGCCAATTTTAAAGTTTATTGTGGGTTATTATTAACTTTGATTTCTCTTGAATGCTTTTTATCATTAGATATTTCATTAACACCTTTTTGCATCTTAATCTGTACAAAATTTGTCCTAAATATTTACCATTCTTCTGAAGGAAAGCATTACTAAATGTTCAGATAACACCACAAAACTCCTGTCAATCAGATGCTAGCAATAAATGGCTCACAAATCTTCAGGAAACTTGAATTATACATTGAACCTCTTTCTGTAGCACCCCTATGAAAAATCTTGAAACCCAACTCCTTTTAGTTTCTTGTTTCATTTTTTGGTGTGTGATTTCTTTTTCTGAAGATTTCGTAAAATGAACAAACGTCTGGTTCCCAGAAGACCCCTGAGTGCCTCCTTGGGTCAGCTTAATGAGGTGGGCCTGCCTTCAGCAGCTATCCTCTCAGATGAAGGGGCAGTGGACTTGCCCAGTAGAAAATCCTCTGCCCTGCCGAATGGAATTGTGTCAACGGGCAGCACAGTGGCGCAGCTTATCTCACGAGGGACCGACTCCAGCTATGATTCAGCTCTGAAACCAGGGAAGATCGATCACCTGAGCAGCAGTGCCCCTGGATCCCCTCCTGACTTGTACGGGTCTTCCTAAATATTGTTCAAAGTGTTGTGTGTGTAAATGTGGTGGAAAAAATAAGGAACCCTAAATCCACCATAGAAATGAAACAATTTTCTGCGGTTTGCTTAAAAATGGTATAGAAAAATTCTGCTTACTTCCTGATTTTTATAAGGGAAAAGTGGTTTGAGCCATCAAAATACAGAGTTTTGAAATGATACAATATTTACTTTACATTTGCTGTTTCAAGTGCTTTGAGGTGCATGATGCAGCCTAATTAGTAATGATGTCTTTCTACCTTAGGCTGGAGTCTGTCCCTAAGAGCTCACTTCCAGCCTTACCAGTGAACCCACACCCTGTGCCCACTAGAGGTCCAGCAGACCTGCCTCCGATGTCTGTCTCCAAGCAGATGCAAATGGTTCCACGAGGGTCCCAGTTATATCCTGCTCAGCAACCAGATATGTTTTATCAGGATCCTAGAGGAGCTGCCCCACCCTTTGATCCAGGACCTTATCAACAAGGTGTGTGCGCCAGGAACAGCCCTTTAGTCTTTTTTGCCCTCCTTTCAGTTCTGCTGTTCCCTCCCATCCTGGTTTTTCCTGATCTTTTTTACTTGGCTCTTCAACTTTGTGTTGTCTTATGGTGGCATGAGGGTTAAAGGCTTTCTGTGCTAGCATGGAGTGAAGATTGTGGGTAAGCTTTAGTGATGGACTGTTCGGTCAGCCAAAAAAAATATTTTTTTGTTGTAAAAGTTCAGCCAGCCACATAAAAAGAGGGTTTTTTTTCTTATATTAAGTGGGACTTACTCTTTTTTTTGTGTTTTTTAGCGGTGTGTGTTCACTTAGTATAACAAATCATTCTTGAGTGATCTTTTTAAGTGCACTATGTAAGATAGAGATCACAGGTTGTACCTCAGTTTACTTATGGTAAATGGGGAGGGGGGGAAATTGTGACAGGTACATATAAGGTTTCGCATGAAAATTACTTTGAGGTCCTTAAATGGAAGGTCCATAGGTACTTCAGTAATGTTTGCATCAGAGTAATAGGTGTGAAAGCAAAGAAAGGAAGAGCTAGGAAGCAAAAGAGGGATAAAATAGAGAAGCAGACAAGGAAGTAGTTATGGATGAATGACAGATTGGAGGAAGAAGAGGTTGCTAGAAATGAGAGAGACAAATGAAGCAAGTAAAGCTTTAAAGAAACAGAAGGGTTCTCGGGATGCGTGCTAAATTAGGAGAGAAGACAAAACCAACATATAGGAGCCAGAAAAGAATTAAAAGTGAAGCAGAGAATAAGTTTTTTAGAAAAGAGCAGGAAGAATAAGTGAGAGACCTAGAGTAATAAAATGTTTGTTTGGCTTCATCTCTAAGAACCCTATCTATCTACAAAATTTGACCCAAAACATTTAATTTTATGCATGTGTGGATTATCCAACAGATTGGAAAAAAAACATCTCTGAAACCTTCACAAAACTGGGAACTTGAGCCCTGTTTAGCTTTTCCTGTACAGGGCTTGAAGTCTGTTCTTACATCTAGGGAGTAGAACCAACTTTTTTCAGTTCATCTGGAGTCTTGGAAATCAATTTGTGTGATGGCAGTAGCAAATAGAGGCAATCTATGTTTTAATTTTGTTGATTTCTTGAAGGATGTTGCTCAGATTGTCAGCACCCATTCATACACTCCTAGCCCTCAGCCCTCATAAAATGTTAAAGAGACCTGTACTGAGTTCATCCTTGTTGGAGAGAGAATATTAGTCCTTTTGATCCATGCAGAAGATAATACATAGGATGCAGCAACTAATCTGTGCTGGGCTCAGCATTTGCTACTGAGGCTCCTCTCCTGCTGTTTGCTAGCTTTTCACTTTCCTGATGCCTTGTATGGTTCACCCTCACTTTCTGGATTGTGGTTTATTGCTTTCTCACTAATGCTCTCACTTTTCCACATTTATGTGGAAACTTGAACATGCAGATATGTTCAAAAATTATTTGCTGCTCCTGTTTTTCAAGATGGCTGTAGATTGGTATATTTTGAGGAGTTAATGACAGCAAGCAATTGATGATCAGTGATGCTTTTGTTTTGTTTTTTCCATTCTTGTTTCATATATTCAGGAGTGTACTATCCTACTCAGTCCTCGCAGTGCATGCCTCGTTTCGTCCGACCTCCATCAGCTCCTGAACCTGGTCCTCCTTATTTAGAGCATTACCCGGCTTATCTCCCGGACCGCGTGGTGAACTCCCAGTACACGCCACCACAACAGTATCCTCCAATGGGGCAACCCATTTACCCACCACACTATGACAGTCGTCGTGTGTATCCCCCTGCTCAACCATACCAGCGAGAAGATATTGTCAGAGGAAGCCCTGTGCCCATTGAAATTCCCCAGACAGCTGTGCCTCCATATGTACAGGAATCCAGGGACAGATATCAGCAAATGGAGGGTTATTGTCCAGTGGCTCCACATCTTGGTCAGATCAGACCTTCATGCCACAGAGTATGACTTAATAAATATATTTTATTTACTTCTGTCATCTGCTCAGAAAAAACAGTTCTATTTAGCACATTTTCCTCCAGAGTTGAAATGCATTTCAGGGGGGAGTTAAACTAAAAACTCAGCTTTACTTAGGGCTGCATATAGAGGAGATGAACTTACTTCTTCCATCATATTTCTCCCTAAAAGGCAGTTTCAAACATACTGAAACTATTTGTGTATTGAGATACAATTCAACAAAGAGGTTTTTTTGAGAATGGGGGGAAAATCAGGAACTTGAGTTGGCATTTTAATTGGAAATTGACTTCAATTGTTAAAAAAGGAGTTAAATAATCTGAAAACACTTCTGTTTTGGAGTTTGCCAAAAATCATTATTAATGTAGTCCTAGTAAGGTAGGTTATGTTCCTCCTTGTAGCCAAATCTCTAAATTCATCAACACTACTTACGAATCAGCAGTGAATTTGAATCTTGATAAAATGCAGGACCGTGAACTGGTGACTTTAAGTATAGAAATGTTGTATCATCATCTTGGGAGCCCTTGAGGTCCGTGGCTTTTTTTGAGCTTTTATTTAGCTAAACTTAGTTTTATAGAGATTTTATTGCTGGAGATGGACTCTCTCTCATATGCAGAACAGGTACAGCATGGGCAGATAGTGCTGTGTCCCTCCTGGCACAGACCATCTTTAACCTGAAGGATATTTCAAGAAGAGGATATTTGTTAGGGAAGTGGGAAAGTAATTCATGACCTATTCTGTATTTGGCCCCTTGAGTTGAGTGAGATTTGTCAAGTGGAATGGCAGTACAATACCATTTGGTGCTGAGGATATCCATCTGATCAAAACTGGAAAAAGGTCAGATTTTGCTTTCCATAAAACATGAAACCAAATGAAAGCAATCATTCCACAACACAGCTGAATCCAAGGGGCGATGTGGAAATTAAAAGTTCTCTATCCTATTACCCAGTCTATGAATTATTTTAAAATAATTCATGGATTAAAATTTGCTACTCTGTAAATTTATTAGGCATCCAAACTGATGAATCTGTTTGAGGTACAATCCTGTTCATGAAGCATGACTACTTAGGAGAACAAGATATAACTTATACTGCTGCTGTTCTGCGTCTCAGGAATGGCAGTTTGCCATTCTCTGTCTTGGAGCATTATGGTCATAAATGCACAACGTAGTGTAGATTAAATATATTAATTTTTGGTCCTGGTGTGAATTTTAGAGTTAAAAAAAATGCTAGAACCACTGGGCTACATATGGGGTTTTCAACCTTTTTTAAGGAGGGTACCTCTTCTAGAGTGTACCCCTTTCCAGATGGGTGGGGGGTGGGAAAATGAAGCTGGCAGTGGCAGAGTGATGAATGGTGGTGAGGGGAGAGGCACAGCACAGAGTGGTGAATGGTGGCAGCGGAGGGCAGAGAGCTCACATGGCAGCCACCTTCACCATTCTGTGCTGCCGCCACGCACTGCTTCCCGCCACCACCGTCCCAAGTACCCCCAGGACCGTCCGAAGTACCCCCAGGGGTACATGTACTCCCAGTTGACAACCCCTGGGCTAGATGGAGCTTCAAGTATTTTGGGTAATTTGATACCCAGTATTTTTGAGGAAGCTTGCATTATTGCCCACTTGAACTTTCTGTGGAGTAAATAACATTTCAGCCCACAAGACATGCAAAATCTGGTATGAAGAAAAGTCTTAATTGGTGCTTTTGGTGTTAGCTTATCAATATTTTTTCCCATATTTCTCCTTTCTTTGTAGAGTGGAATTGTGTAGTTGTGTGTAAAACAGCTTTTTACAAGTGAATGTACTTTTTATGTTTAAAATTTTTAGGAGCCTTGTAACAGATTTCCATCTTCACCTCAGCCCCATCCTAGTCTGGATGAGCTTCACCGCCGACGGAAAGAAATCATGGCCCAGCTAGAAGAGAGGAAGGTGATCTCCCCACCTCCCTTTGCACCCTCACCAACTCTGCCTCACACTTTCCACCCAGAGGAGGTAAGCACATTTTCAAGTAAGTTTTTGGGTTGCTGATGTCATCAGAAATGGTCGTAGGGAGCTAGCGGGGTCAGAGGAAAGCATGCATTAATGGCAGGTATTTTTCACACAACTTGATCATCTGAAAAGCTGAATTGATGGGCCTATTAAATAGGAAAGGAATTTTTTTTAATGGTATGAGGGAGACCTCTCCAGGTGTGAAGGGTCCTTATGGTTAACATCTTGAGGAAATTATTCTTGGCTGGCCATTAGTCCATTGGTCTGTCAGTAGTCCTTAGTTGTGTACAGGGATCCGGGTTTTCCATTTCCCACTGGAAAATGGAGAAAAACACGGCTTTCTCATTTTAGCAAAGAAATGCATGGATTTTGCACTTTTGCAAAGAGCTGTCTGCTGGCTGGTCGAGTTCTAGCCTGCAGGGAGCTGGGGGAGTGGGAGGAGGGTGGTCAGGCAGGGGGTGCCATGTGCATGCCAGGCAGCCTGGAGTGCAGCTCCTGCAGGTAAGTCTGGCTGTGGGTCGGGGATTGAGGTCCCCATAGGGAGGGAGGGAGGGAGTAGGGCAGGGCTGAGGCTGGGGCTGCTGCCCAGCCAGGCAGCACGTGCGATTTGGGGCCCAGGACTGGAATGTCATGGAGTTGCGGGTGGCTTGTTTAGGGGATGAGGTTGGGGCCAGCTCCCAGCCACAGTGCACACTTCCAGGGTGGGGGAGGCAAGTGGCAGGGGGACCTGTGCCCCCCAGATCTGTGCACAGGGCAGGGGTGGGCTCAGGCTCCCCACCCTGCTGCCTTTCCTTGGGGCCTCCGCAGCCCACCGGGCAGGACCCAGTGTGGCAAGGCAGAGTGGAGCAGGGAAGCTACTTGCCACTGTGAGCTCTGCACTGCCCTAGTGACACAACCCTTCCCACACTGGTAGCAGCAGGGGTGGTGGTGCAGGGTTGTGCCCCTCACTGATGCAGGATGAGCAGGAGGTGTTGCCATGGTAACAGAGCTCACAATGGCAGCAACAAACTTCCCTGCTCTGCCCTGATGCACCAGGTCTCACCTCCTGAGCCGTAGAGGCCCCAGGGGAGGGCAACAGGGAAGCCTAACCCCACAGCAGGCAGTCAGCCCCCACCCCACACAGATCTGGGCAGGCATGGGTCCCCCTGGCTGCTCCAGGAGTGCGTGCAGCAGCGGGGAGTCAGGTCCCCCGAACCCACAGCAGGCAGCCTGCATCCACCCCTTCATGGGCTCTGCTCTGGCTGTGCTGTCCATGGAGGAGGGAAAGCTGGCATAGGCAGAGGAAGGCCAGGGCTAATGGAGTTTAACCCCGCCAAATGCAGGCAGCCCGGGCACAGGCTCTGGGTGGCTGCAGTGGCGTGGCAGGGGCATGCACAGGCAGAGATGAGCAGCTGGAGCCTGCAGACGGCTGGGAACTCAGCCCAGCCCAGCCCAGCAAGTGCAAGTGTGGAGCAGCACCCAGCAAGTGCATGTGTGGATGGGTAGGGGTGCAGGGGAGGGAAAGGGCATAGTGGGGTAGAACAAGGCCCTTGCCGAGGGGGGGAAGGGGTAAATGGGGCTCTGGGGCAGGTTGCGGAATGCTTGGTGTCTGGGTGGCTCATCCACGGATGCAGGGGAGTTCCCAACGCTGCGTGCATTCCTGGGGCAGCCGCAGGGGATATATGCCCCCTGATCTGTGCTGTGTGCAAGGCAGAGGTGGGCTGCCACTGCAGGCTACACTCCACACCCCACGCCACATGCCTCCCACAGCTGGGCAAGCAGCGCAGCCAGCGTGCAGGAGGCACATGACATTGCACCTCTCCCAGGGCACTGGCAGCAGGGTGCAGAGGTCAGCCCACAGCGGCAGCCCACCTCCACCCTGCACACACATTGTTGGAGGCACATGGCCCCCATATCTGCCCCAGGGGTGCGCGTAGCGGCAGGAGACAAACTGGGCTCCAAGGTTCTCACAACCACCCCAGGGCCCCATTCACCCCTGCCCCTGTCTCTGTCTTGCTCCTTCCCTCACCATAGGGGCCTTGATCTGCCTCCCTTATACCTCTTCCCCACAACAGACTTACTTGCTGGGAGGGGACGGTGCATGTGCATGCAATATATATAAACTAAGCTTCCTATTGTGGCTCTGGTCAAAATTCTGCCAGCTTCAAGTTAACTGTCACAGAAATCAGCAATTCCTGTGATACACCTCCTTCAACTTACTTACAAAACTAGGTTTTTTCTCTACAGTACTTGGATGAAGACCTGAAGGTAGCTGGGAAATACAAAGGAAATGACTATAGTCAGTACTCTCCCTGGTCATGTGACACCATTGGCTCCTACATTGGAACCAAAGATGCAAAACCCAAAGATGTTGTGGCAGCAGGGAGTGTGGACATGGCGGTAAGTTGAGATGTAAGAATGTCAATAATAACTTAAATTGTAGAGACACGCTCCTTTTCTTGCTTTGCAGAGTGACTATAGCATGTTTATTTGAGCCCTAATGTACCATGCAGTCAAAGGGATAGTGTGAATGTTTGTAGCAAAATGCCAGTACCCAGAATTACTTTCACGACAGTTGCAGATGCAATGTGATACTGAAGTTTGATACTGACTCTATGCATTTCAGCACGTTTCTGACTCTTCTTTATCGTATGGTCAGTTTGCCATCAAAACCATGACTGTCTGCCAATCATCTCCTTTATGGGATGAAAATACTTAACACTTTTCATTAAAATGCAATAGCAAACACAGGCAATATTCATACAGCCTACTGAATAGGAAGGTCCTGGTGCTGCTGTATTTTTTTGTAAAGATTGTTTTGCCTGAAGGCTTGTCAGGGTATTGCATTTACCAGCTATCCCTGGTCTGAACTGTACATTTTTGGTGGGTTTTCATGATCAGCTTCTGTTCCTCCTCCGCATGTAGTCAGTCTTTCTTAGTTCCCTCCTGTCTTGTTGGAAGCAGATGCTTGGGGCTCCCCTCTGCTGAGTTTACCCTCTTTCTGGACCTCAGCTGAGTGATATGAGGAAGCTAATATGAAATACATACCAGTATTTTCTTGCATACTAGATACGCCTTTCCCTCAAAATCAGCCCCCAGAATTGGGGTGCATGTCTTTGATCAACTGAAACAGGGAAGCTGATTTTTCTGCCTGGAATAGAAGCAGAATTCCACCCTGCTGACTGTCACCCACTTACATTTCTGCTTTAAAACCAACTACTCAGTAGCAGCAGTGGCATTTCTAGTCAAGTACCTGAGGGAGGACATTGACCTGGTGGCTTTTTGTTCTTAATTCCACAGGTGTCTTTCCTTTTTAATGGTCTTGATATTCCACTAATCAAGCTAACCTTTATTCTGGCAAATATGCTGTCTGGTAGCTACTCCTGGTCTCTCCTCTTCTATTTCCCAGCCATACAGACTTGTTAACGCTTTTCAAAATTATAGATCCACCTATGGAGACCAGTCTTCAGAAGCATCTAGGGTTTCAGTATTTCACTAAGCAAGAGAGAGAAACTTAGTAGAATAAAGATTAAGCCCTGTCCCTGTTCTTTGAAGCCATAACATTTGAAAAATCTTTTTCTTCATTCTACCTTCCCAAAAGCAAGGTGCGTGTCTTAAAGCATGCACTGCACAAGAAAATGCAGTGTATAGCAATATGAGCTGTATGAAATAGTGGGGATAAAAGGGGGCTTCCTCCCAGAAAAAGCAGAGTAAGGAAGGCTGAAAATTCCTTTCCTCGGCAGCTTTGGATAGTGGATTCATTTGGTTTAATTTGCAGTTTTCTGCTATCTGTTATGCTTGTATTTGGCAGAACTGTTACATTCTAAACTTGAAAAATGGTATGAGATACTCAAAATGGAGCAAGTGGTATTTGAGAGGGAGAGAGAGAAAAGCCTCTTTTTCTTATCACCAAGAAGGAAGTTCCTCTCAGACCCATACGTTGGCTAGATTAGTATGGTTGTTGCCTCACAGCTCTCAGCTTCCCACTGAAACCGCTTCCCAGTAGACTTCCCCAGCCATAGCAAGTAAACTCCTTGGCCTTTTCTGCACGCTCCGTTCAAGGTACTTGCATTTTGTATTGCCAATGTCCTCCCCCTTTTACAAAAAAAGATACCCTGGTCCTTCCGTGTATTGATGATGTCTCCCAAATATTTGTCACCAGCAGATTTCATTAACATATACTTACTTATGTTTGTCAGTCATTAGTGAAAATTATTTAGTAATATTGATATCAAACCAGATGTTGTAGAACTCCACTAGTAACCACCTTCAAGTCTTGTAGGCTCTCTGCTTATTCCTAATATCCTTTTTGAATTGGTTATTCATTCAGTTGGTTCCTTTTCCACACAAGTTTTTTCCTTTAGTTTGGATGCAGGTAGTATCCTATGCAAGGCGCGCGCCAGCACCTTTTTAAAGAAATTCACAGCCTCTCCTACATAGCTCCTCGGTCCAGCTAACATCTTTAATTGCTTCCTTAAGTTCATCAGTCTTCTGAAAATAAAAAAAAAAAAACCTTGGAAGAACAAAAAAAAGTAGGTTTGTAACCTTTTAATATAAATGGACTTATGCTGGACTGCGAGATCAGATCTTCTATAATGTCTTTACTATTTAAAAACAAGTCTAAAATAACAATTCTAAAATCAAATCATGGCTCTTGATCTTGAGAATTTAATAGTAAACATTCGACTTCTCCTTTCCTGGGTCATTTGTATTTGTGCTGGAAAAGAAACAAGTATGAACCATCTCCTTGATTAGAGAACACTTGTCGACGCACAGATGAACTGGATTCTGACAGAAGTACTCTATGAAACAATGACTGCTATTTAAGTGTAATGATGAGGCCATTGGCTGTATAGGGGGCTGTGATTGTCTTCGATCTTTGGAAGAAGGTCCCTTTTACCTGTGCTCCTCCTCCCCTGGTATAATGCATCTGATCTTCTGCTCTTCCTTTCCCTTGCCATGGTTGGCCTTGCTCCTTCTTAGTTTCTTCTCAGTTATTACTTTCTTCTCTGTCTAATCACTACTCTTCAGACTCCTTTAGTTAATAGTGGTGGTAGATAACATTGCAAGTTTGATCAACTGAAGTCCGTATGTCCAACTGTGGAAGTTCTGAACTGTGGAACAGAGAGCCTGGCTAGAGACAAGGTCTAAGAGGAGGAACAGAAAACAAAAATTCCATATATAATAAACTTTTTTCCCATGCTACTTGTTGGTAAATCATGGAAAACACCAGTATGAACCATATTTTTTCAAGTCTGTCAGGTGAACAAGAATTGCCTATACTAGTATTTTCCATGATTTGCCAGCAAACAGTACAGAAAGAGAAAATTCTTATTCTCCGTAACTTAAGTTGTTGGCTTTAATTTTTTTTTAATTTCTTGTTCAGAATGTAGATAATAAAACCATTCGTGATCAGCGGTTGGACATGCAGAGAAGAGCAGCAGAGTCAGGGGATGATGATCTCATCCCATTTGGAGACCGGCCAACTGTATCGAGGTTTGGGGCCATCTCGCGTACTTCCAAAGCGATGTACCAGAGTTCTGGCCCTATGCAGGCCATGGCAGTTCAGGGAGCTTCCACCAAATCTATGAACATATCAGGTATAATATGTGTACATAAATATTTCTTTTACCATAGCTTCTTTTAATTTTTCAATGTAGTTTAAGTAAAAAGAGATACCCCTGAAAACTTATGTGAAAATTTAAATGGTAGTTGATACCACCAAGCTCTAACTATAGAACATAGAAATGGAAAAATATGTTATCTCTGTAAATACAAGATATATTTGGAGGCTTCATGTTCTATATGGAATTGAGCCTTACCCAATGGGGCAGCTCCCAGCTTCCCTTGAGAGACTGTAGCAGAACCAAAGGGATTTGGTTCTCAGTATTTGAAAACTTTTTTTAACAGGTTTCTCAGTTTCCTCCCATTGCATTCTCATTCTGATACTAAAGAACCTTTTCTGTCTGTTCTCAACCATCTGGATGTATATCTGATATAAGACTGAGAGAGGCAGTTAGCTATGTTAGTCTTAAGTCATGCAGGAGGTAGGGCAGGGTGGTAGTTTAGAACAAGGATTAACCTTTTTAGACTCAAGGCACCTCTTGGGAAATGCATGGACTTAAGATTTTTTTATTTTTTACTATGCAGGGTCTTCATCCCTGCCCGCGTGTACCCCCTAGGGCCTTCTCAAGTACCCCCAGGGGTATGTGTACCCCCAGTTGGAGATGACCCGAGCAGGGTGCAGGGCCTGGGGCAAATCAGCCTGTGCGATACCCCACCCCAGACGCGAAAAAGCTGGCGGCAGATTTGGCGGCAGGGAGGGGGATGTCACCATGGCCACTCTGCCTAGCTCCGTGTGGCCACCCAAAGTGCAGGGGCTGGGGCGGTTGCCCCAATTGCTGCCCCCCCCCCCAAGCCGGACAGCCCTACCCCCAGTTAACAACCCCTGTTCTAAGGTGTCATCTTGCCCTACTTTCTGCCTACCTATACTAAATTGTTACAGCGTAACATTCCTACACCAAGAATTTTGGCAACAGTTAAATTTCCAGGATATGTTATTAGTGTGCTCTGTGACTGGTCTCATTTATGTATTCATCTCTGGATTGTTTATCAAATGCTTTTTTTTAGCCTGAATCACTGTAACATGGAATTGATTTTCTGGATAAATCCTCCTGTTCTTTTGCAGATTACAGTCCATATGGAACTCATGGCAGTTGGGGAAGTTCTCCATATTTACCCCATCAAAATATACCTTCTCAGGGACGGTTCAGTGACAGGTGGAAATATTTTTATATATATTTACTTATTCTGTGTACACTAGTCCTTTTTCACCAAATTTAGCAAAGCTATTAACTGCACGTCTTCTCTTTTCTTCCTGATCCCTTTCCTGCCCTGAAAGGGAGAGGTTATCCATGTCAGACATTAGTGGTCATGGGAAAACTTTGCCCTCAGCTGAGAGGGAGCAGCAGCTCAGATTGGAACTGCAGCAGCTAAACCATCAGATCAGCCAGCAGACGCAACTGAGAGGACTAGAGGTTTGTACCTGTGTCTTTGAAGAGACAAGAGACGTAGTGGGGGGAGAGAGAAAGAGAGAACGCTGAAGTTAAATATGCCTATGAAAAGCCATTTATTCTTCCTTTGATATTTTGAACTCCATAATATCTTGCACCAGGATTTTCCAGCACTTGAACAGAAAGGAAAACTGCCTTACTGTACATCAACAGGAACTGTAGACTTTTTTTGCACTTAAAATCTTTAAAAATGTTATTTGCATCTTAATTATGATAGCATATGATGTTTGTACAACATTCATGCTTGTCCTCTTTCTCTGTCTTCTCTGGGCTTAAGGTCTGCAGGAATGTTGGGGGAATACATGTAGATTTATTTTATTGTTCTTGGCTTTTCAGCCTTTGTCACAGTCAGTTTCTGTATTCAGAAAGCTGAATGTTTTGTCTGTGTCCTTTGGCTTTGTTGTGGAAACCTTTTCTTCCTAAACAGCACAAGCCACAAACCTGAACAAAATGGATATTGAAGACATTAATCTTTTGGGCCCCAAAGATTGTTTGTTTTGAGGTCAGCTCTCCCTAGAATAAGAGTAATTTTTCTGGGGAGGATGGAATGGAAGTGTATTTATAAAACAGATGATGAGCAGTATCTATAGCTTTTTTGTTTTGTAGGATTTTGCAGCAGGAGAAGTTTTTAAAACACAATGAAGGTGTTTTTGCTGCAGCAAAGTTGTCATCTCAATTTAGTAATGATTTTCCTAGAAAGGGAAATGTTAATTTCCTTCAGAAAGAATTAAAAGGTACCTTACAGCTAAACAAATTGACGTTTTTCCCAGCAAGAACATTAGAATAGTTTAGAAGCCTTTGCTTAAACTTAATTAGCTGAGATTCTGCTTTCTAAAGCAGGGGCTCTTATTGTGGCTTTATTATGGAGTTCACAATGTTTGAACATCAGTGAACAACTGCAAGAAGCACACATTTCTCAGTTACTTGAAGTGACTTGTGTTCTTGTTCAGGACCAAGAGGAGAAATTGCTTCTTTTAAAAAAAATGTCCCTGTTTGCCTTTGATGCCATAATGGAAGAGTATTGGAAAGTTCCAAAACCCCTACCTTGTTTGGTTCCCTAGGTAATGCCGTAACTGATTTTGTTTGCCTTCATAGTCAAAGCATAATCATTTAGGATGTAATTATAATGATTTTTGACCCTTTGGCATAAACCTGTCATTCGGGTCTTTGAGATTGGCTGTTAACTTGGTTTCAGATGCAACCAGATATTTAGAATTCAGGGGGCTTCTTCCATTGAACTGCTACAAGATTAAGTGAAAGCTGGAAATAAAACAATTGTGATTGCATGCATTTTGCTCATATGACCAGAAGAATCTGTGCTAGATTCTTAGTAGTTCATATTGGAAGGAAGGGTGATCTTATATTAAATACTCCTTTTTTTTTCCCTCTCTTTAAAAAAACAACAACAACAACAAACCTTCAGTTATATGTAAGATAGATTTCCTTTAAAACTGTGTTTGGAATTGTTTTCAGTCGAGACCCTTAACTCATAAGGGAAGAGAAGGCTTCAGTTTTGCAACTAGGCAATACTCCTCAATTATGGCCTTGTCCCTCTTTGTGCATGGAGTGTTTTGTGTGCTCAGTTGTATGTGCTTGGCTTTATGCATTTAGGCTGCTAGTAACAGGCTGCTGTTGCAGAGGGAGGCGACTACCCTGGCAGGCCAGCCACAGCCCCCACCGCCACCTTCTAAGTGGCCTGGAATGATCTCAAGTGAACAGCTGAGTTTGGAGCTTCATCAGGTGGAGAGGGAAATTGGGAAGAGAACTCGTGAGCTGAGCATGGTGAGTGCTATGGGTATGGGAGGCAGAGAGATGGGATGCAAAGCTGCTTGGTTTGCCGCAGCACTATAACCCTTGTGATAAGGCTCTCTGCTGGATGACTGTTATCACTCTCATCCACTTCCCGTTTCCTGTTTTTTGTCCAGAATTTCTAGATAAGCACGTTTATTTAGAATTCAAATTCTGTACTCATAATTTATCTGCTTAAAATACTCATTTTTTCTAGCCCCTTGAAAGCAAAAGTAGAGCTGAACTTATAATTGGGCAACTAGGCACAATCTTTTATGCTCAAATTTACTGCCCAGTTATTTTATTTCTCTGAGACCATAGATGGGCTAGTTGTGACATGTGCTGTATAACTTGTATAATACTTTTGACATTCCATCCAGGAGAGGGCCAGTGTCTAGTACTCTGTCTTTCAATATTACACATCCTTATTTTTGCTTCTCCTTGTAAGGATCAGTCCTTTCTTTGGGAAATTCTGTATCCTGAGAGAATGGACAGATTCTACTGAGTCGACTTCTGTGTCTTATGGCTTTTGTCAGTTGCTTTGTGCAAGATTGTTAATTTACAGGCATTCTTCTCTGGTCTCATGGAAGGAAGTAACAGTCTCTTTGTACAGTGCCACAACATTATTTTCTTTCATCTTTTTTTCAAAGGAGAGCCAGTCTTCACTGGATATGAAAAGCAAATTGGGCACCAGTAAACAGACAGAAAATGGACAGCTAGAGCCGCAAAACAAGGTTCCGGCTGAAGATCTGGCACTGACATTCAGGTAATGGATGGTCATTTCCAGTGATCCATAGAATATGTTTTCTGTAGATAACTAATAGGTTAGTTGGGACTGTCCCTTTTGGATACAAGGAGCAGCTGCTGCATTTCCAACATGCTTTATAAAAACTATATGGTAATGAAGAATGGAGTGATTCTATTTATAGTGTTAACATGAATTTAGGATGATTCTATCTGGCAAGGATGATACCATCTGGCAGGAGTGCAGTGAAGTTGCACATAAATTGTTAACTGTTTCCAAATAGAAAAAGAAAAAATTGTCATCTTATTAGTAGGATTGTTTTGGGGATTTACTCCAAAATGGATGTAGTCTATGAAGATATTCATAGACAGGATAGAATCCCCTGACTTTGCATCTGCATAATGACCACTTTTGTGTATTTTAACAAGTGGGCCACATCTGCACTAGACTGTCATTACAACATACTGAAGGTTACAGGAACCATCTTAGAAGCCTCTTAAAGCACTGGTTATAGCACCAAGGCTGAGGTCATTGGTTCAGATCTGATTAAAGTGTTTTGAAAAGAAAGGCGCACATGTTTTAGTTATTTTAGGTGAAACAAGTCTAGGTAAATTTAGTTGAGTATGGGACCAGTCTGCATAAGCCCTGCATACTGTTCTTCAGCATCTCTTCTCTGCCACTGAGATATGGGATGCTAAGCTAGATGGACCTGTGGTCTGGACTCAGTATGGCATCTCTTATATTCTTATGAGCAGTTTGAATCTAGATAGTAGCTCAGTGACTGAAAATCAGTTTTTGATTTTTTTGGTTGTCTGGGGTTTAACTTTACAACCCAGTTGGTACAAATCTGATTTTATTTATTTATTTATTTTAAACATATCAGGTAAGTGGTAGGAAAATGCTGAACCTGGGATGTGATGTTGCTGTATGCACACTAACTCTACTTTTAAAGAGAAAATTCAATGCAATATAGAAGTCATTCTGGTCTCTAAAACTAACTACAAAGAAAAATGAATCACTAAAATATTAACATTTTAGTTTTTTAAAGACCATTCAAACTTCAGGATGGTAGTTTCTTTAAAGTTTAATACTATCACTGTTTTATGAGCCTCTTAGAGGCAGTGTAGAAAGCATTTAATTACACAGAGAAATGAGATTGTTTCAGTGTGGTTTAAGAACCATAAATTCAGTTGCATATAACTTACATATGGTTTGCTTAGAAGTATGTAACACTGTAGTAGTAATACAATTAGAGTTTCCATCTGAGCTATGGAAACAGTGACAAGTATTTTTAAATACTATTCTGAAACTTGGCTATTTTTAATACTTTAGGTTTAGAATAGAATTTGTGAAGTGTATAATTTGTGCACTAATGTACATTTTATTTTATATATATTATAGAAATAATTATTATATAAATTCTAAAATTATTCCTTTACAGTAGTTTTGTTTCCACTTCTTACTATCAACACTTTCTCTTTCTGATGAGTATCCAGGAATCATAGAAAATTCATTTTCTAGGCACGCATATGCCAGTTTATGCAACTTCACAAATGTTTGTTGCAGCACTTTGGCAACAAATATTCAGGGCTTGTTCTTTCACTCTTTAAAATCTTTTAAAATCCTCAACCCCTTTTTCATTTCACATCATTCCTTCAGCAGTGATGTTCCAAATGGATCAGCCTTGACACAAGAGAATATCAGCCTCCTTTCAAACAAGACCACATCTCTGAGCCTGACAGAGGACCCAGAGGGTGGAGGAGACAACCATGACTCCCAGCGAACAGGAGTTACGCCCACCTCTGCTCCATGAAGTGAAGAAAGCATCTCCCAGAAGTTCTGCTGGGGGGTGTTGGTAGCTTGTCATGTTCACTTCCAGGGGTGATCAGAGAAACCCAAGAATAACAGCAGCAGCAGCAAGTCCAGAGGCAATGTGCATAAACACCACTCCTAGAAACAAACCCTGCACATAGTTCACATTAATGCGTTTTTTAATTAAAAAAATGAAAATTAGCAGTATCTGCAAGCAATTCAAATTAAATTTGTTTTTGTTCTGTGAATGAACTTTATTTTAATAACATTGGACGCCTTGGATCCCAGGGCTTAAAAAAAAAAAGATATTATATATATACTCTGTTTGATTAATTGTATGATCTTAATGAAGTAGGTTTTTTCTTTTACTTTGTATTATTACATATCCAGTGTATAATTTCTTACACCTTCACTTCTGAACAACCAAAACAACTTGGCCACTTCCTTGTATGTATCTAAAGGTGAATGAGGGTCATGAAATGGAGGGAGGCCATGAATTGCAGTGTCAGAAAATGTGCAGCAATCTTCATTTCTGAAAGAATTTCTTTTTAAGTAGGAACTCTCTCCGAACTTGCACAGTACATCTTTCTGACTATACCTGTTGGCTTTAAACAGCAGTCAGTACAATCTTCTCAGTTCAGTGTAAGCATTCCATAACACCTATCCCACTACAAAATGTATGAGTGAACCAACAGTAAAGAGAATTCAGCGTTTGCACATCACTTTACTTGGACTAGGAGCTAGTATGATGTGTCATTTTGTTGTTGGGACTAAAAAATCTCTTGCAAGACAAGTAGGCCTGAACTAATCAAAACTTACATGTTTTGGATTTCCAAGAGAAATTGAAGTTGCATTTCTTGCCCTGAGCTTTAAGCACTTGGCTAACAAGTGATTGTCATGGTGTAACATGACAGGCTACAAAATGTGTCTTCCTAGAAAAAGGAAGAAAGACAACACGTCATGAAAGGAAGTAATTAAAAATCGATTTGCAAAGACTTGCTGCCATCCATTATTTAGGAAGATGGCAGTTTCCTCTTTTTCATTTTTTTTTAAATGAATAGGATGGTATCAAGGTTTGTCTCAAAGAAACGGACCATTTATTATGGAGCTGATCCACAACCCATTGAGCCAAACTAGTGAAAAAACTTCCATTTCTTTCTATAAGCTTTGGAGAACAGGGCTTTCATTTGTATATTTTTTCAAATTTAAAAAAAAAACAACCCACCCCTGCCTGCCTTCCATGTTTTTGTCACTGCTGCTCATGTATGTATATATACACCGATACATACGTATATATGTCTTATGCTTTTATAATTTGCTATTCCCAGTCTGATATTTTTTTTTATAATCCCTAGTATGTCAGTCATTTATTTTTGGCCTTGAAGTTCTCTCTCAGAAGGAGACGGAGAATGTAAAATTGATGTGTAATAGATTTGGTAATTGGCAATTGGTGAAAATAAAGGAGGCTGATCAATAGCACTTGGTTAGCTCATATATACTAAAATTAGGCAGCAATGGCTGAAAGTTCAGTTAATGTACCAGAGCTTTGCCTGTTGTTGTCATGGAATCTTCCAGGAGCAAGCTGTCTTTTTTTTCTGTCTGAGAAGTTTCATCCAAAAATTGTTCTTCAGGTGTAACTGTAATACTGTCAGAAACATTTACAGGTACTTGAAAGTTGAGAATTTTTATGACACATGCAATCTTCTCAATCTTCCGTAGAAGGTGGATAGTAAGGAGATGCTTCCTTAAGTGGAATATGTTAACAGCATTTTTAAAGAAGTTATAAACCTTCCTAACTGTGTGCTGGTAGCTTTCCATTGAGGAGTTCTCCTAAAAGGTCACAGAAATGAATGAGGTTTTGCTGCACATATTTTGACCTTTTCTGCCTGTAGTGGGCTGAGATCCTCTGAATGAAAAGCTCAGTGGAAACAGATTAGAGCAATACTGGCTCCTCCTATTTCCTTGTTTTCCTTTTGGGACTAGACTACTAAAAAGAAAGCACTGGTTATGTAATAAATTACTGCATTGCTTTGGTTGGGTAAAGCAAGAGTTAATAATTTTCTTGGTTTTTCTTTTTTTCTGTCTTGTTTTGGTTTAGCTTTTTTTTTTTCTTCCCCCTTAACCCTTAACTCCTGCTGAGGTCATAGCAACCTTGGGCTAAGCTTTGCATCCATCATAATGTTAATTAAAATAAATTTGGGGGGGAATACAGTCCCACTATTGCCTACCAGTAGGAGAGTCCAAACAGAAGACTCTTTTGAGTAGCGATTATTTAATTTGCCCAGTCAAGGCACCGCATTTATATACTATTTCACATTGAATTTGATTATGCCCTACAGACCTGGCTGGTCAAGGATTTGATACACATATTGGCTTGGGATTCGAGCTTTCTTTTTTATTTAAATGAAATTTATATATAAACATATATATACATATATACATAGTTATATCTGTATATATATTGGGTATGTTTTAAGAATTTTTTCGCATGAGCGCAGCTGTTGTGATCAAATGTCTGGGAGGAAGAAGCACTGAACAAAGATAAGGCATTTTCAGCTCCCCTCCAAACTCCACATTCATGCACATGTTTTTCATTCTTGATTGACTTTTAACATCTTTATTGCCAGAGAAGGTAGTTTTGAGGTTTTATTAATTTTTTTCCTTAATTTGTGGTGAAAAATCTTTTCTGCCCTGAATTCTTTCCATCCCTGCTACTTTCCCCCAGTCATGCATGTTTGTGCTTCACATCCTGCTTTGAAGCCTTTTGGTATGGTCCTTATCTTTCCATCTCTGTGGAAAACTTGTCTGCTCTGTTCCTTCAGTCTCCCTGGTACCATAAGCTTTGTGCGCTCCTGGCATTGTGCTGGTAAATGAACTGATGTGGGGGTCCATGCTATTATCTGCAGTCTTTAAATGCAGAGACCTACCAGCAGGTCTGCCATCACTTCATTAATTTTTATGAAGCTGATCTTTTGCTAGGTCCTTATTAATGCTGGAGCACATTTTAGTTGCAACAGTTAGTGCACTATTTTAATCTAGGAGGACAAGCTCCAAGTGCAGATATTCTGTCTCTCTAACTACAGAAATCAACTTTACATAAAAGGTTTTAGTGTCTTGTTACAGCAAATTCACCTTAAATCTTAAAGACTACTAATAATAATCTGGTCCATCATCACTTGTGCCAACTGGTTTCCTATTCAGAACTGACCTGATTGTTTCTAGGCTTAGGCTTATAAAACCCTACAGTAAGGACAGGTCAGATCATCAAGGTTAAACATTTCTCCATTTATGGATTTGAAAGGGGACCTTAATGTTGATTTTTTTTTTTTGTTTTTCCTCCCTCATCACATTTTTACTGTACTTTGTGCATAGTGTCCTTGTGATGATCAATCAGTCCAGGTGAATGCCCTGTTTGCACAGCATTGTAGTTTGGCTTATTAACTGTTTTTGTTTAATATCTACAAACTGTATTGATTCTGGCTTTGTTTCCTGTTGTCCTTTCCCAGTGTTTCTTTACAGAACTTTAGTTGCTGAAGCCAGTCAAATAGGGAATCAGAAAAAGGCTTTAAATCTTTACAGAGATTGTATAAAACTTTCTTTCCATGAAAAATGCCAGAAGAGCTGGGAGAACTGATAACTGTTCACATTGTATAAGAGGTGATTGTGAAGCAGACTGAATTTCACAGTTCTGTCTGTATTTGCCACTTTTTTGTTGACTCCTTTACTTGTGCCCCATGTCCTTCACCCATGCCCAGTCTCTGTTCCATATATACTGGAATTCTACCTACTTTGGTCAAATGAAACCCTGCTATACCCTGATTTTAGATCCTCCTGCTCAGACAAGAGCAAATTGTGTTACAGTGGTGCTTGAATACTATTATTGTGTGGTAGGTAAAACAGATTTCTTCATGCAAATAGCACCTTCAAGAGGGCTTTGGTTAGCCTGGTTTCAGTTACAGCGGAGACAGGCTGTGGGGGCAAACTGGGAAGCTTCAAATGGCAGGCTAGGGTACACAGTGCCAGATAAATTATTGGCCCACTCTAGTTTAGAAACATTTAATTTGTCTTTTAGTAGCATAGGTGAATTTATTACCCAACACATGCGTCTTTCTTATTCATTTCATGTGACCTAATTCATTAATAGTATAAATCTGTAAGTTCACTTTTCTAAGCTGCCATATCCTATTTCAGAATAGAAATCCTGTATATCTGAGGACCTTTCATTCTTGCAGCACTGTTACCCGCTTTAACCTCAAATTCTTTTTAAGCTGTCGGCTTCTTCTGAACCTGATTCTCTCCCTCTTTTTCCTTCTATGGCTTGCCCATTATCCTCCCTGATCGTGCAACAGCGACAGCTTGCTGCCTCAAAACAGAGCATTCAAATGAATTCGCTTAGCCAATAACTTCTGTGAAGTTGCCTTTTCTAATGGTGTTATTACTCAGTGATGCACAAATGTGATATTGCCCCTACTGGTAGGCAAACAGGGGATCTGTATAAACATGGTAAACTATTGTTTTTCTTTAATGGAGAGCCAAAGACTTGTGCTTTACACTTTATTTTTTTCTTTTACTGGAATAGTCATTTTGGTTGTGAAATATTTTGAGTTTTGAGAGTTGACTGTATTATCCTAATAGAAATTTGCAAAGTTGTTGATTGTCAAGCCTTATACATATTTAAAATAGTGGGAAGTCATCACTTCATCTGGTTGCACCATGTGTGAAAGGTGTGTTTAAGCACCTAATGTGTTTGGAGATTTTTAACTTGTTCTTGTATCCACTCCCATGCACTCTCCCAGCCCAGGATAATTTACAGGTAGGAGGTAGGCTTAGAAGTGTCAGTAGTCTTAAGCCATGTCTATAAAAGTTAAGCCTAGACTAATGTGTTGATAGCTAGTTTAAAGTTAAAATTACTAAAAACAAAAACAAAAAATGAAAAAAAACAAGAAATGCTGGTGAAAGGCAAATCCATATTGCAAGTGTGACTTTTTGCTGACTTCCAAAGAAGTCCATTTAGACTGAGAAGATTTTATAGCATTATGTTAAATCTGATATGGTAGAAGCAGACTTATGCAGGATATTGCCTGTTGACGACAAGAATTTAATATTATCTGTGACGCATTCATTGAACCATAAAAAATAGGAATGAGCTGTTTAATATGATACACAGTAAACCCATTTGTTTCTACTTTCCTTGAGCTCATTTATTCTCTTGCAGATTGTTCTTAGGGTTCAGAGAGGAATCCTTAAGCAATAAAAGTAACAAAGCCATCACCTTCTTGCTGTTTCCATTCATGAGTGCAGAAGTTCTAAAAAAAAATAAATAAATAATAACATAGTAGCAGTTTCAGGTCTGTAATAAGTATGTAACTACAGGGGTAGCTTTCATAAGAAAAAGAATTCTGTCAAAAATATATATTCAGTTAAATAATGACAAACTCAATTCTTAGGGTTCATGATTGTAAGTGCAAAATGTCAGAGGGTTCAGCAGCAGAACTGTTAGCTATCCTCTGTTTAATAAAGGAAAAATTGAAAACTGTATGAGACTAGATAAATATTTAGACCATAGAGCCAGATGCAATGAGCAGGCAGAATCACTGTCATATGACTGCATCTCCATATCCATCCTACTAGTCATATTGATTCTGCATGTCCTACTAGTCTCTCCTCATCTCCAAGCATGAACACCCAATATTAGCAGTATTGATAGTGAACTTGACATTACTGTCTCCTAAGTTTTACATACTTGTATTATACTGTAAGATTCTTCCCCTTTAAACAACTACCTGTCTCATTTAGAGCAATGATCCAAACAGTAAACTGAAGAAAATTCCATCTTGCTAAATGTGAATTCTGAATTCTGTGTTGAAAATGAATCAACATTTCTAAGACACCTTCTGAATATAGCTATGGTGCTGAAAAGAAATTGTCATTAATAGTGAGTGTATAATACATGGCCAAGATTCTTCATTTCACTTTGAAACTGATGTACTCTGAGTACATTTTAATATGAAAGGTAGGAAATCAAACGCTGATCCTAGTTTTCCATATTGCTGCTGTCCTTAATTGCTTGCTTTCTCCCTGAATGATAAATGCTGGAAAAAGGTTTCAAAGTATGAATTAATTCCAGTCACCCTACAAAGGTTTTGGGTGGACCTTATTCCAACACAATGTTTCCTGATGTTGCCATGTCATAGCAACAGTTGCAGTGTAGACAAAAACATCTCTGTATCCCTGAATCATGCCACAGTTTCAGAAGCAGCTGGTTCTTGTGATACAGGTGGACCCTAGATTGGAGTAGAAAGGAGAATATAGTTTATAAATATTTTTATAAAAACTTATGAATGGTGAGAGTTGTTTTATGCTGGGGAGCTCTCTGAACACTAAAAAAGAGGATGGAACATCATTTGATCCCTCCCAGAGAAGTGCATGGAGAACCTGGCTCATCATCTGCCTATGCTGGACTTCCTTCCCAAGAGTCTCCCAGTAGTTTGAATTTTTAAAGCACTGTGCCCAAAATGTTTGGACATGGACATACAAAGTCTAGCCATATAAATAAGTGCCATTCTCTAAAGCTTACTGAGTGCTTGCAGGTTCCCAGGAGACTACTTGAGAAGTTCTGTGGGAGCTGCAAATGCCTGGGAGCTCTGAGAAGTGTGCATCTTTTATTTAGCTGTCTCGCTTCAGGCACTGAAGTCTGAACACTTTGGGCCCACAGGGGTCTGGCATTGTACAGGTTTTCTGACATCTCAGAGACAACCAGTTCTTTCTGGATCTGGAATTTTTTGGCCAAAAGGAAAATATTTTTAAAAAGTCTTGGGAAAAATACAGGAAAAAAAAAAAAGGATGCGATAGTTTCCCTGAAGAGGAAAAAGTACTAGATATACTGAAATATATGTATGTTTAAAAACAATCCTGTGGAGTTATCTGATGTTTATGGTATAAACTAAAAATTGTTTTCTCTGTAACGTTAAAGTAATTTTATTAATAATTTGTAGCAGACAGTACTCACAAGTCTTTGGCATCCGAACTGGATTGTGTACTGGATGGATCCCACAACTGGACCTGTGCACCAAGCTCCTTTCTAGATTTTTATTAGATGTGATGGAAACTTTCTGTGCATGCAAAAAGCAACTTGAGTAGGGAGAGGAGAGAGAACCCCATTCACAACGCAGTTGATGCATTGTTTACAATTTGTGCCATTGCTATGCAGCCTCTCCTGAGTGCGAGCTGCTGCAATGTGGACAAAATAGCCCATTAAATGACTCTTAGCTTTTCTAGTTTAAGGAGTTTCCATTTCCCTTTGGCCTGTGCTTGCCATGTAAGCAGCTTCTATGCTAAGAGGGGCTTTCCTTGAAGGCCAGCTTATCAGCTGCAGTACAGCTTGATTTTTTTTTTCCTTCTGTTTGTGGTAACTGGTAATAGTAATGTTATGAGCTAGTCCCTAGTTGTATTGAGCTCTGGGGAAGAAGAGGGAGGTAGGGGCATGCAGAACAGAGTTACAAGAGAAAACATGCATGCCAGCATCCATCCCCTCGCTTTAAAAGTCACCTGTTTCCAGTTGTGGGATTTCTCTACAAAAGCTTGTTTTCTCTATGTAAACTTAGTTTTCTTTGATCTTTTTTGGGCTCATACCAGTCTCCCGGAGACATTCTGCAGTCATTATCACCTTTTTGGGTGGAGTTTATTTTATTTTGTTGGTTTGTTTTTTTAAATAACTTTTTAACATTGGTGCATATATGCTTGGGATAGAGCTCATGTAATTTTCCAATCGTATTGATTGTATGTGATTGTGCCCTGCAGAGGTATATTTAACAAAAACAATAAAAAATAAAATGAAAAAGGATAGTCTAGGATAATAAAGGAGACCATGCGATTTGAGTCAGGTTATGAATGACTTCTTGAGTTTACTTAGGAATTTGTATAAGTAAGGCTCCCCATCTGCTGTTCTTATAAAACAGTACTGAACAAACTTTTTTTTATTTCCCTCCTCTGTCTTTTGAAGTGATCCCTTTTGACTTTTTTCTCCTTCACTTCCATTCCCTTCCTATCATAAAAAGGGACAGCTAACTCTATTTGCTGAATATTGTGAATATTTATTGTTCTTATCTCCCCAAACACAAGAAGAGTGGAGATTTAAATAAAAGGTGCGAGTGGAATTCCATAAATTGTGAATTCTTTGTGAGCACACTTGAACATTGAAATATCATGCATGAAGGCTGGCAGTGGAGGAGATCTTCAAAGGCAAATATGGCAGTTTTTGTATCTTTTTGGAAGGTCCTTTTGAGATGACAGAAGGGGGAAACAACAGAGCCTGCTTTATCCTACTCCAATGGTGTTTTGATCCTCCAGTATTTGTGTTTTAAACCTTAAGTAAAAACCTTTTTTCACACATGCTGAGGAGGGAGGGGATTGGCAGATGGAAGGGCAAGAAAGATCTCTGGTCCTGAAAGTCATTGTTCCTTGTGATTTCTTTTTTTTTTTTTTT